GCCAAAAAAAGATGTTGCCATTCACTTTTAGCCTTTCTGTTAGTGCCCACTCTCCATTGGTTGCTTTGATTAAGTTGGGAATTAACCTTTTTATTTATTTATTATGGATAGACATTTTAATTATTATTTTTTTAAAAAAAAAAACAAGTTGGTTTCACTGTTTTTTTAACTCTATGTAAAAATATTGCAAAAGGAAAAGAAAGAATTTGAGTATTGAATGCTCATGAGTTTGGAGTTTGGACTTACATTTTTAAAATGTAAGCAATAATTTTGGTATACATTTTATATAGCCAATTGTTCACTCTAATTTGAAGTTGAGGGATCTGATTACTTTTTTCAGGTAGAAAAAAGAAACGTTTCCATCACAAAACTCTTATTCGTGTCTTTTTAGTAAAATGTGTGTTCAAATATAAATTCAATTTTCAAATATTATTTTTTTTTAAAAAAAAATGAAGGTAGGGGTAGAGAAAATTAGGAGGAAATTATAAGGAGGGAATCAAATACTCACCAACAAGGTTAGTTCACGTAGTCAACTACTACTATAAAAATCACCAGTTTCCCAATGAATTTCTCAATAAAAAATATCCAGTGGCAATTGCAAAGATATTTTGATTGATATCCATGTGAAAAGAAAATAATATTAGTAATTGTTTCATATGAAAAAAATTAAGAAATTTCTCACCATTTCAATACAACTTGACTTCATTTTTTTCAAAAATAAAATAAAATCACCAAGTTCATGTTCAAACACCTATTAATTAAAACTCTCATTTAAAGAAAGACTTCGAAGTTCAATCATATAATATTCGAAGAACAAGAAAGGATATATGTATATTAAAACAACAAGTTGTGATATATTTTGAAGAAATCAACATAAACATATTATGGTGTTATAATGGTCAAGTTGGAATATAAGGAAAAATAGTTATATGATTGGCCTATATGTGTCCTCCTAAAAATGTAGGGACTATATATAATGCGACTACTCGACATTGATTTTTATTTCACTTTTTATCTTTCTCTTTTTATAAGAGACTTTAATTTTGGAGATCACTTGTCTCATTCCCTTTAGAAAAAAAAATTCTTCTTCTTTTCTGTTTTTTTCTTTAAAATTCTTTGGTAACAACAAAAAGAGAGGGGGGTCTGGTATTTGAAACCCCATACCTAAATAAATGAAGTTGACTTTAACCATTCATGTAATTTAATTTAATTGCCACATGTAATTTATCATTCATTTTAAATTATCAATTATTAATATTAAATATAGTTATTTGAAATTACTTTTATAATAACCTATGATTTTATACAAAAAAATAAAAATAATAAAATAATAAAAATAATAATAATAATAATAATAATAATAATAATAATAATAATAATCAGTATATAGGATTTGGACCCATAAAATAATGTCCTAATTAAATCTACTCACTCTGTCTGTCTCTTCTTTTTCCTCCCTTCAATGAACTCTAATTGTAAGTAATATATACCGTTACTATAAGTAATATTCCATCAGGTCATCCTTTCATGTAGGAGTGGATCTAGAGGTTTAGGTTTTTTTTTTTTTTTTTTTGTCTATATCTTATATATATGTTAAGAAATTTATTAAATATTTGATTGTAAACCTGATTATATAATATTGACTTAAACTCGTTATCAGAATTCATTAATTTTAAATTCCTGATCCATCTATGTTTACATACTATAACAAATAACATATCTTATTTTCAAGATTTCAAATCCTACCCTTTATGAAAACATACATGTAAATATACTTCCTATTGCAAATAAATTAAAATTTTAAAAATGCAAAACTTAAACACTATAATTTTCTCCATTGACTTGTTGTACAAAATCTCGGGTAGCTAGGAAGACAAGAAGTAGATAGATAAATAAATAAAAATGTAGTTAGTACTCTGCTCTCCACCTTAACTTGGCCACCCACATTCATTTTGGCATAGTATATAAGTGTGTACTACAAGTAGATATACATGTCCTACGTAACATATTTATAGAGATATGTTCAACCGTACCGCACGTGAATTACTACGTAGAATATGTGTGTCTATTTGTTCAACTTTATACAAGTTTAAGTGTTTATTTGTACAGTACACCCAAAGTTGAAGGACATAAATATAGTAGTTGATATCAAGTTTAAAGACACGTTTATATATTTTTTCTTTTTTATATTTATTTTGTTTCCAATTGATTGTATAAGGAGAGTTTGTTGAGTTGAAGCAATGTCTATATTCTACGCAAGTTTGGCATAAAAATCGAATAAATGATAGAAAAAGAATGTGTATATCCAAAACTGCATGATTGAAAAGTGAAGCATTATAAACCAGAAAAATAAGAAGAAATGAAGAATATTATTTATGGAGGTCAATTAATTATTGTAGCATGCATGTTCTTGGGCTGCAATCAAAGTCAAAATTATAGATAGGATCCGTGGCAACCACAAGCCATCGTGTGTCAGATTATGTAATGTCTATTTCTGATTTTGACATTTTAATGTTCTCTACCTCATAGCACAATTGAATTATTTCTTCTCATTTTAGAATTTGGATCAAATCGAGTGGAGTATATATTCTAGAAAATTAAGCTATATATTTCAGAATACGATAGCCACGATTAGCCGGACCTTGGCCTGTCAATTTATAATAATTTATTTTGTTGCACACCCTTAACCACGATCTCAGGTTCGAGGCCAACTAGGTAAGAAGTCATCTTTTGGGGAGCGCTTTAGCACCTGAAATCTCCGGAGAGAATTCTAATTTAATTAGGTCTCAATATATATAAGTATCAAACGTTAGGTGAAAATTAAAACAAAAAACTTTTATGCACAAATATTATAACTTTTTTATACCATAAAGTTAAGTTGATCTATAATAACTATATACCTAGTGAATATCTTAATTTGTTAATTGACATAGAGAATCGACTATCTAACCTATTATAACCAATTAGAATGTATTGATGAGTAAAAAATTGATCCAACATGACATGACACGTATTGTTTACATTGGCTGATTTCATGAAAGTGTATGACTCATGTGAACTTGTGGTATGTTTTATAGATATCTCTTCTCTTTCTTTAGAAGTTTGTCAGCCTAGCTAGGGTCCTAAAAACAGAGGCATGCGAGAAGCTAACAACCGGATTTGTTGCGATCACCTAAGGATCACCATACAACTCTTTCGCTCACGATAAGGATCAGGGCATAGCACGATTCTTCTTGGAGGAGGGTTGTTTGCATGGGTTATTGATCCTTCCTTCTCTTTGACCCGTCCTCGTCATATGTGTCACATAAAATTATTTAAGCCGTTAGTATATATAAATGAAATTCTTACACAAAAAAAATAAAAAAAATCTTAAACTATGGATGTTTCCGCATGAAGATTACATTAAGGAATTCCTACTATTGGATTGAAAAGAAAATGTAATGTATCTAGTCTAGAATATGGTGCTAGTTAAAACTTTTATTATAAGAAAAAGAAGACCAAAATATGCTTAGATTGATTAAGTTTTTTGGTGTGGCTTTTCTATTGTGATGACTGATAGGGATTGTTAGGTGCTCATTTTGGCCAAGCAATAATAATATTATTGCTCTCTTTTTTATTTATTCTTTTTAGCAAGTAGAAATAAGGATATTCTTTTGTCTTATATATTTTGTTTATCTTTTGAGAATCCGGCACTTGCGTATTCTACTGGTAATATAACTGTCAAGTTATGTATATATGTTCAAATGAGAGATGATCAAGTCATTCATTTGGTGAAGCAAGAATTTCAATAGATGGATGAAAAGAAAGTTACCTAGCTACTAGAATCTCTTTGTTTTGTTTTCGGGTGGGCCTGACGAGAGGAAGAGGTAGGTATAAGAAATTTTAGGGAGGGGTGATTAATTAGGCAGGATATGATGTATTCTCAGCGCTTACCGAAGACATGACCTTGATAGGAAGAAGTGGAGGTCAAGTATTAGGACAGAGGGTTAGTAGGTAGCGTATCTCTTTATCATATAATGAGGATTAGTATTATTTTTACGTTTCCTTATATTTTGATCTCTAGTATTACCTTATTATTTCCTTCACTTCATTTATCTTTATCTTCTTAGCTTGTTGATGTTAGTGCTAGTTATTATTGCTTCTTTTGTCTTAGAATATCTCCTTAAGAAAGGGTCTAATGGAAACAACCTCCCTAACCTGATTATAAGGTACATGGTAAAGTCTACGTGTTAAATTTGTTGTTCTTGCATTGTGAGGGATATATATATATATATATATATATATCTTTCAGGATTTTTATACTATACAGCAGCTCCACATAGCTCATAACAAAAAATTGTCTTAAACTTTTTTTACCATTTAAACTTTAGAAACAAATGTACTATATATTTTGATTTCAACTTGAAAGAGAAGTAGAAATACTGATCATTTAAAAAGCACAGTAGGAAAGAAAGTGGCAGTAATTTTCAATAATGTGCTGAACAGAATAATACAATAATATTCACATATTCTTCCTCATCTTGATATCACAAGATTCTATTTGATAATGAGTCATAGTTTATTCTTCTTAGGCATAAGTCAGATGCACAAATTTGATTGAGTAAGCTCGGCATTTTATTTTTATTTACAAAATTATGAATCACCATTGGGAGTTTATGATACATCATGATTCATGCCATATATTGATATGAATTTTTATTTATTTAGCAACACATGCAAAACACATTTATACTGATCATGATGATTTGGAGAATGATATGCAGTCATAAATTTATCGTTTTGTACTTTTTGAGGAATCACACTTAAGATTATGTTGTTGTCACTTGTCTACACACAATACACAGTAAAGTTTGTAGTCGAGGTTGAACAAATCTTGGGACGGGCAACATTCAAGTGAATCTAGATAGAGGGAGTCCCCAAATGATATTTGACCAAAACCCAATTGCTAGAGATATTGTAACATTAACAGGGGAAATTCTTGCTTTGTCATCAGAAATACATCCAAAACTACACCGAATTCATAATATGTGGCTAAGCAATTATTCTAGTGTCATTTTACAAGTCAATGAGGTAAAAGTTTCGTATAACAGAATACAATACAACCTCTCCCTGTACAAGTAGTGATTAAGCAGAGGACACATGATGTCTAATAACATCAAAAGAACCATGTATAACACAGCTTGAACGTCATCCACTCCAAAATTCTTCATGGACTTCAGGGTCCTCATAAGCAGGAGCTTCATAACTACTAGACTCTTCAGAAGTTTCAAAGCTTGTATATGTGGTTGATTCACTATCATACGAGTCCTTGGGTAACTCGGAACTTTCAGCTATAGTTTCCTTGTACAATTCATCCGACACAGTTCCATCGACTTCTATTTCCTTTAGTTGGAGAAATACAAGTAAATGATCCACTCCATTAACCAAATCATACACCATTAATCCAACCTTTCCTCCAACCCAACTGCCCAACTCGCTTCCAACCAAGTAACCAAACCTACCCATGGTCTGCTCCCCGAGATAGCCAACCCAATAGGCACCAAACAAGGTACCAGAACCCCTCAACACCCCTTCAGTTGGTGTACCTCCAAGATAAAGTGCTTCAAAGAAGTCCCATCCTGCAGAAATTATCGGACCAACAATACGCTTGGTTTTTCGCACGGCCAATTTTGCAGCTTTTGCTCCTTCTTTCTGAGCTACTTTAGCTGCTTCTTTTGCTGCGATGCCTTGTGATATGGCATCAGCCAGAGCAGTCTCGATAGCTGAGTTCCTTGCTCTCTCCACATGAGAAGATCTGATGTTATAAGTGTAAAGCTTCACACCTTCCTTGACTAAACATGCTACGCTTCCCGTACTCCCATCAAAACAGTGCAACCAAGTAAATTCCCCACTCTTCGATGCAGCCTCTTGACCAACCAACTCCCTACATTTTTCAGCTGGAAAGCAACAAGATATTAGATAATTGATTGATATTACGTATAATAAGGTGGAACGGAATAAGCAAAGCACCAAATAATGGTGAGTAGGACGGTTAACACTGAAGAAACCCCTTATCCTTAAAAGTTGTGACGCTGTCAATGATACAACTTAAAGCACAAAATACTCAAAGAAAAGTGCCTCAAAGTAGCCCCTTGATGAAACTGATGCTGGTATGGAAATACATGCAGATTATGAAGTATGAGCATAAAAGTATCCTGTAGCAATGAGTGCACAACATAATACCAAAATGGAACATTCCAAAGGTTAAAAGATTCCCAGGAAACAACACAAAGTGATTGCTAAATCAATAACATAGTAATATCCATATCAGCTCCTTCTTGAATGCATGGCACTAAAACCAGAGTCTCAGTTGAATGGTCAATGCAACAAATTTATCAAGAAATAAATGGTAGGCAGAACATATGTAAGAGGCAATTATCCAGTAGCACAGTTGATATTTTTAATTGTTGGGGGTTTTACCCTATGCGCACCTAAAGGGTAGCGGCTGTGGGTTTCCCTTGACATCAAAAAAAAAAAGTTAAAATAAAAAAAAGAAAGCTTCAATGTTGAGAAAGAGATTGAATATTAGTTCATAATTAACGCTTTGATACCTGAATTAACACTGTCTAAAGCGAGACGAAGTACTCAACCCACATAGCACCAAATTTCAGGATTTAAGCACTAAATATTTCTCTACACAATATCAGCCACAATAGGTACAAAGAAAAGACTTTAAAGAGTCAAAAACTACAAGATTATATTTAGAGGGAGCAAATAGAAGAACTGTTAAAGCAATTGACTCATCCAAGATTCTATGTCAAGCTACTTCCAGGATTATGAAAGTCATTAGCAACTACAGGTAGGGTATTGATCAGTAAATCGAACTATCTTACCATCATATACTTGAATATTCATTCGTTATTGATGCTGTTAGTCAAAATTTGCAGGATCCTCATGATAGTCATTGGGATGCAGCAGTATGTATCCATCAATATTTCAAGACCCACCCAGGACAAAGCGTTCAATATGAAGACTGAATGAATACTTATATTACAGGAAATGCATATACAGGTTGGCTGAGTCATCTAGATAGTCCATATTCAAAAATTGTGTTTGATACACGGAAACTTGCAAGTGAAAAAGTAAGAAGCAAGGTAGACTGTTCAAATTGACCTGCAAGCAAAATGCATATTACACATAACTGCAGGTAAATTTGTACACTCTACCAAATGACTCCTAAGATAGTAAGGTAGACTTTTGAATTTTGTGGTCTTAAGTCTTGACCCAAAGATGTGTATAATGCACCAAAATGGCCTTCGAATCTTATGGTCTTAAACATGTTGTGGGGATGTTGGAATTAAAGAGTTACTAAACATAGAAGGTGTCATTCTCTTTGAAACATACTAAAAAGGGAAGTACGACACATAAATTGGAACAGAGGGAACAATACATTTGCATAAGCAGTATAATCTTTCATTCTTGTCACTTCCAAGAATGTCGAGAGCACGCTTATACTGTGGGATGATTGTGCTTCATCTAGACCACAATATTCAAAAGCCTTCAATATGAAGACTGAATGAACACTTATATCACAGGAGACGCATATACAGTTTGGCTGAGTCATCTAGATAGTCCATATTCAAACATTGTGTTTGATAAACGGAAACTTGCAAGTGAAAAAGTAAGAAGTAAGGTAGACTGTACAAATTAACCTGCAAGCAAAATGCACATTACACATTACTGCAGGTCAATTTGTACACTCTACCAAAAGAACCCTAAGGTAGTAAGGTGGACTTTTGAATACTGTGGTCTTAACCCAAAGATGTGTATAATGCACCAAAATGACCTTCGAATCTTATGGTCTTAAACATGTTGTGAGATGTTGGATTTAAAGAGTTACTAAATATAGAAGGTATCATTCCTTTTTAAACTAAAAAGGAAAGTACGACACATAAATTGAAACAAAGGAAGCAATACATTTGCATAAGCAGTATTATATTTCATTCTTGTCACTTCCAAGAATGTCGAGAGCATGCTTATACTGTGGGATGATTGTGCTTCATCTGGACGTAGCGGACTTAACAAGAAAACTGTTAATCTCAAGAAGATAAACGAGATGTTTCTACTTAGAAATGGCCTCCTAAATACTGTCTGTAATAGCTATGTTGTCAACATAAACACCAAATGAAATATAGACACTGAGCAAAGTGCCTATAAAACACTGAATGATCAGCTTATAGATGTATTCACCAATTCTCTAATCGCTGCTGAATGTTACATATGTAAAGCGCTTGGTAAACACAGCTTGTATTGACCAACTTTTGGAGGCATGTCAAATGGCTCAGTGTAGATAGTTAAACATAAATGGTTAAATGTGTAGTATCTTATTAGTGCCCTACATCAGAAATACAGATATATTCATTGTAAATTATGCCTATAAAAGGAACCAAGTACAAGACATAAGTCACCCTTATGCATTTTTTGAATCATGTGAAAATAACAAACAAAAGGATGTTTCTGGAAGGGTTGAAAAGATAATATAGAGAATCATGAGTGCCCATTTAGTTTACTAACATATTTACTTACGTATAGCTCACTGCACATTTTAATTTTATTTTATTACATTAGAGAAGGGGGAGGGGTGGTAAAGGGATTGCTACGCTATTAATAGGGTCTTCAATCTCTACCTCAACAGTGGACGGCACGTAGCTCTCAAGTAAGCTTGCCCTCAACTCCTCATTGCACTTTTTTGGAAGCTAAACACAAAACATCTTATATTTTGGTAAAAGAGGAAGTACAGGTGAGTGTGTATATATATATACTTTGGACAACTTGTTTGTCAATTGTGATTGAGCCATTCACTTGTATACAACTTTTTACCACTGAGGGTACTGAATAAATGAAAATTATTAAAATTACCAAAAAAATTACAAAACTGTGTGTAATTGTTTTGACACCATCTTGGTGCGTAGTTAATAAAACAATTATTTGATTTATCAAAGAAGAAAAAGTGCAAGACATTATCTTCATCAAAAAAGTGCAAGACATTACGTTTCCTACATCCTCCATCTTTCTCTTTTTTCTCACAGTGTATTAGAGAAGAGTCCCTTTCTACTAACTCAGCCCAAATATAATTTCCTTATTTTGTACCTTAAAGAGAGAAATTCTACAAGGGGAATGGGGAGTTAAACAAAGCATTTGACTAAAAGAATGTAGCATGGTTTCAAGTTGCCATCACTACTATAAAAACTTAAAACATAGTATGACACAGATAAGGAAAACTAAGTCTTTTCCACAATTCTGTCATTGAAAAAAAAGAGAGGAGTCTTTTCCACATTTCTGAGCATGGACTAAGCCTAGATGTTCCTTCACTTGCCAAATTTATTTCAATTTTGACAGTATACGCAGCTTTCTACATTCATATCTGCTAAAGAGCCCTAGATCTAACATTTTACACAGAAAACTACTACCCTCTTCCACTTCAATTCTTTTTTTGTAATTAAATCTACATAAAATATAAAATCATGTTATATTATATGGAGTAGTATTTACCCAAGTCTACTCTCTTCAACCCAGAGATTAAAAGAGTTTCCAAATCCACATTATTGAATTCTCCTTATGCATAAGTTAATCACCCAAACTATACTCTCCTTATCATAAGTTAATCACCCCCACTATATAAGGAGTACTTTTAATTTCCCATTGTCCCTGCACTGTACAGTATCTTTTTGATGACATTAACACTATACTATCAACTGCAATGCAGTCTCAAACAAGTTAGGGTAGGCTATATGAATCCTCATTGACCATGTTCACCATTTAAATTCATCAAACGCCAACTATAATGAGAATTCAATATTGAATTTATGATGGTCATCAACCTACAGCAACCTTCCGTAAACCTAAAGAAAAATGTAATTTTACTTCACAACAAGACAATAGAACACTACGAAATCATTTGTCACCCGGACAGTCAGTCAACATTCTTGCGGCATACTAAACCCCAAAATACCGCAGTGGATCATAACAAACTATAGCTTCAAACCAAAAATATAAAACTCCGACTTCGTTAGATCCCAAACCAACAATCTTAGTCAATTTCAAGATTTGGTCAATATACTCTGCCATTTACCTTCAACTTGAACAAATACTTCCAAAATCAATAGCAATTAAACCCTATTTAGACGAAAGAACAAGACCTAAATTGAATCAATCATGGAAAACGTCGAAAATTGGATTGCTTACCGGTGATGCTGAGAATTAGTAGGCCAACGAGAAAGAGAAGAACTTGAACCCTCTTTTTCTCAATCATTGAACTCAAAAATTACTACACCCAAACCCTAAGTATGAAAGCAAATCTAAGAAGTTGGATCTGCAGCAGTTGACTCAGTAGACGTCGGGATAAATGAATTTATTTATTTATGCAGTTCGTTAATTAAGCGGGAGAGTAAATTGCACTCTATAAGATATTATGCTCTCCCGTGTCATATCAGTGTATTCACTTTCTGCACCATGAAAAAATAAATAAAAAAGATCTACTGTATTAATTTATTCCTTACGAAATTATTTTAAAATTTTATAAATTCTTTTACACTTTCAAAAAATATTAGCAGTGGAAAGTTTAATACTGCAAACTAAATGATGTAGTGTTTATATAAAATTTAAAAATCAAATATTGTATTCGTTAATGTAGAATTGAGTCAGAGCCTATTTGAATTGGCTTGTTTAAGCTGCTTTTAAGCCAGAATTGCGAGTTTTTTTGCCTGTAGGCAACGGAAAGACAAAAATTTTGGTATGACAAATTTGTGCAATTTACTGTATGATCTATAATCTGTTCATTATAGAGTTACCTTTCCATTTTCTGTAAAGAAAAGAAGTTGAACCTTTAAAATGAGGCCACTAGTTTTCTCAAATGTGTAGTTCTCTTTGCAAAACGTTTAATTCTTACTAGCTTTAAAATGAGGCTAATATACTCTTTCCTGTCATATCTACTCTTTGTTTCCAGCTCAACAAATAGAATTCGCATTGGCTTTTATCATTGCCGGTTGACTATTGAAGATGCTAAAGTACTCCCGAATATACAAAGACATAAGGGAGTATATAACACTCAATGGCCAACGGTCCACATTAGCTTAAACGTGAATGTTACATGTATATATATGCTTGATATAAGCAATAATCTGAGTAAATAACAAGAATCAGTTTCCTCCAGATAAAGTTCTCTACAACAATGGAAATAATGTCATAGCAGATTAACCAGAAGTAGTCCGGAACTTCTGTGAATTACTACTTAGTATAAACTTTGTACATAGTTGATGCTATATTCTACTTTATGCAGGAAAAAGTTCAATATAATCATTGATTTTCTAGATTGATTGATCAGACAAGAAATATCTGAAATTCAATCAAAGAATTTGAACACAAAAACTATCAAAATCCTAACTTCAGAAACAGTCTCTCTACCTCCACGAGGTAGTGGTAACGTCTAAGTACATTCTACCCTCACTTGTGGGATTTCACTGTATGTTGTTATTGTTGTCACAATAGTAAATAGCACTAGAGAAGGAATGCCCTGTGGAATTCGGGCACAAGTTAAATACTACTGCTTTGGCCTCAGCAATTCTGTCTGAGGGTTCTGTCACCAATGAGTGTATCTCTATGTGAAGAGCACTCGGACTCAAAACACAGGTTACTCCTACTTTGAGACAAACTTGACAAGGAAAAGTTCATCTAGTTCAATGTAATCCATCCCATATATTTTGGATGTTGCAGCACCAGTTATCTAGCTACATTCTATTACAGTTGACACCATTTGGAGGAAGCTTTCCTGATAAAAAGGGAAATGACACCGGCCTCAACCCCTCTTGGAACTTATGCAAGCTTTGCTGCACTTATTGAACCTACGGATTACCTAAACCAAAAGGCACTAGAAGGACTGAGGGCAAGCAAAATAATCATCCGTGCTACCAAGAAGGACATTGACAGCAGTGACAATACAACAATACCAACTACTACTGCTCTTCAAAAACCAAACAGTTGCCATTCTCAATAATGGATAAAGGAGGACTTTGCGACCAATGCAAAACTAGTCAATTCATGATAGCTTTCACTATGATCATTACCTAAATTCTCAATATCAGCCATGACATGACACATCAGTTATTCCTCATTGTAAATCATCATTGTAAACATGACAAACTACTACTGCTCTTCAAAATCCAAACAGTTGCCGTTCTCAATAATGGATAAAGGAGGACTTTGTGACCAATGTAAAACTAGTCAATTCATGATAGCTTTCACTACGATCATAACCTGAATTCTCAATAACAGCCATGGCATAACAAATCAATTATCCCTCATTGTAAATATCATCGTAAACAAAGACCAGACGGTAAGATACAAACATCTGATTCAACAACTCCAAGCTAATTCTTGGTATTTACATGGTTAAAAGAGTAAGCAGACACAGCATACACTAAAACATAACCAGCAAAGGCATAACTAACATGACATTACCATCCAAGGAAACTCTACTAAAATATGGACTAATGGAAGCAAAGCTATCCAAACAAGCCACAACGACGATTAAAATTTAAACAATCCTGAAGAAGCAATAGGCTGCATTGGACAAGGATTCTGCAACGGCTTCAACAAAGGATCAGCAACACCAGCAGCCAAACCAGTACTGTCAATAACATCATTTAAATACCTGAGCCTATCAGTCAATTCCATTGCCTGTGCCCTCAACACATTGTTCTGTGCAGCACAAATTGCATATCTTTCTGTTGTCTCGTCAATCTTAGACACAATATTCTTATTTGCAGACTGTAATTTGCTCACTTCCCCTGTCAAATCTTGCAGAAGCTTCTGCTTCTTCATCCTCGATCGCCTCGCAGATTCCCTGTTGGAAATCATCCTTTTCCTCTTCTTCTCATCCATTCCTGCATACCTTTGATCATCATCTGATGCAGATGAACTAGCACTCTGCCTTAAAGGTGACATTTTTTTTTCTCCAATATAAATCAACAGTACCCCAAATCTATGATTTCAAGAATGCCAATACAAATCAAAAAAGTCTGTTCTTCAACAAATTTTTTTATTTAAAAAAGTACTTTTTAGTGGGTATTTCTATTCATGAAAAATCATAAAAATGGTAGAGAAACAATACAGAGAAAGATTGACGAAAACAATCGCCTAAAAAAGTGATGGAAATGGCAGAGATCATAGATTGATTCCTAACTAAAGAAACCCCAAATTCATTGTCATTGAAAAAATCAAAATCAGCAACAACCCCAGAAAATAAATTACCCACCTTGAAATTTCTCAAAATAAATAGTACAAACAACAACTTTAGAAATGTGATATTGAGATTATGGGGTTGTCGCAAAAAAGGCAATCTTTTTTGAGACAATGAACAAAGGTGGATTGAAAGAAAGGGGGAAAAAGAATTAACAAAAAGGAATCAAGAAAATAAGGAGAAATAAGAAGGTGAAAAGACAAAAATGGTAGGTAGAGATGATTAAGGAAGAGATTAATATGGGGAAACCAGAAAGTTTATTTATTGATTTGGAGGCGGAGAAGAGGATTACGTTACTCAACCTTTGAAAGGTGTTTTTAGAGTGATATAGATAGTTTGAAGGCGAGAAGGATGTTCATGATGACAAATGTAATGCACACCTCTAGAAAATACAAAATATTCACTGGACACATACTTTCCATGTTCGGGTCAGTTTTCGAGCATTTGGACTGATTTTATGGATATTAGTGACCTTTTATCAGTAATTAGAGTTGTCAAAAAGAATCGGTCCAAGCCAAGGAATTTGATGGCTAGGGCGGACTAGTCATTCACTTGAAATGGTCTGAAAATGCTCAACCTAAAGGGTTGCGGACGGGGGCAGACTAGCTCCTCATTTTTCTTTTCTTTTTTCAACTTAAAATTCTATAACATAAAAATTAAAAAATTCAAATCATATGTGGCAAAGATTTTCACAAAATTCAAAAATCTTAATTTATTTTTTAAAACTTGCGTTCAGTCAAATTACAAGCAAATTAAACGAAATATTCTGTAAGTTGTAACCGAACTCATCACTAATCAAAATACTTTTGAAGTTCCAAAGCATATACTGAGAATTTGAAACATTGAATAAAGAGAAGGAAACATAAATTTCAAGAGTTGACAATTTTTCCTTAATTTTGTTTTAAAGGAAAGGAAGAATGCATACTTGAGCAAATAAAAAACATACTTATACCATATTCAAAATGTCTAATTTTTTTCAATCTTTCTAGGTGATTAAACTCGTGATTAATGAGTCGAAATAATTTATTTTTTTAATAAAATGATAGTGGCAGTTGCAGTTATGGATTAATTGATTCCAATCTAATCTCAAAAGCATTTCACTTAGAAATTCAAAATAATACCCAATCGAAGAATAATACTTTATAATATTTTAAATAATGTCAAAGTTGGTTGAATTGGATAAGTGTGGCAACGGATGAATGGCGCGAAAAGATAGATTAGGATGTGACTGAATTTTATTACTAATTTATTTGATATTTGATTTGGACGTAATAATTCTTAATTGTTTAAGGCTCAGATTAAATGAATCTTGAGTTTGTTACTTTCTGTTAATTTTAGTTCATACTTAAATATTATTTAACAATAATAAAAATTTAATTCTAAATGAAAAGCGCTTTATTTCCAAAATATTTTTTTTTAGGTGTATTCGAATTAAACGGATAATATCAAATGTTGGGTGAGAGAAAAAGGTAATACCAAATGTCAAATAAATGAGTTCTCTTATTATAATTAAAAAAAAGTCATATGATTTAGGTTCAATATTTACTTTGAAAAAGACAAATTTTGATGCGTGCATGGAACTGCTAAAAAAGAAGAGCTGCCCTATCTGTAGAAAAGGCTTCTAGAAACAATTTTTTTCATACACATACGTTGATTAAGAAATTGTAATCTAAATATAATGAGTGATGTGTCGTTTATTAAATTATTCATATTTAATAAATGACTCTTTAAAATTGAACATTATTAAATAGTAAGAGAATAAATGTATAGCTGAAAACACATAAGTATTATTTTTGTTCTAAATTTTTAAGGTGACACTTATTTTAAGACAAATAAAAATAATAATTATTCGACTAATTTAAATTAAACAATAATTTTGCAAAGTTCTATTGACAAATACAACAGTTCCTTCTACAATCAAACGATGTGAATGGACCAAGTCAAAGTGTATTACTAGAAAAGAAAAAAATGAATTATATTTATGAAGTATTCGATTTGTCTTAAATTTACTCTCCGTTTTTTTTTTGGTCTGACATTGTTAATTTCTTCCTATAATTTCATTGACGATTGGTCAGTTTTGACTCTTAATATTTGTTACAGTGAAATTACATAAACAAAAAATTTAAATATAACTGAAAACTTTCAAATATATTCTTAAACAATTGAAAAGGTCCAACTATATACTCTTATGAAGTAGAAAGGATTGTTTTACGTTGAAAACGTTAATGGGAGAAGCATAATTGAGATGCAAGGTAGCGGTAGAGTCTCCTATGAACGAAAAATTACATAAATTATATATACGACAACGTTAAAGGTATAATTAAACATTTTCCCCTATAATAAGATATTAAAATGGTTAATTCCAAAACTTATGACCTTCCAGGGTTACCCCAACTACAACCTCAAAAGTTAACTTAAGAGGTGAAGATTATTCAGGCCATATTAAAGAGGTGATAATGTTTGGTCAGTATTTCTTTGTAATTTTTAATCAAATTACATCATGTATGATGTATTGGATCCTTCTATCATAAAGTAACTGGAATTCTCATATACATTAGTACAGTACCAAACAGATTGCCTGGAAAAAAATTGAGGATTCTATTCCTGTGAACAGATTTCATGTTACACTGAGCACATCAGAGAAATTATATACTATTTGCAAAAAAAAAAAAAAAAAAAACTCCTAATCCTGCATTTTCTTTGCAAAGAACAACTCCTCCAATATCCCCTTCCCCCTACTTCAGTCTCACAATTCTCTTCAAGACTGCTCTTTAATATATCTCTCATCAAAACCTCAGTGATAGTGATTTTCCCCAAAACCCGATCAGATCAAAACGTCTCACCAGGTATTATAATTGCTAAGGGGTTCAACGCAAGAACTCCCAACCAGACAAGCATTCTCTTGGTAGGTCACTCACCTTAAATCACATTGTGGAAGGTGGTCAACAAGCCAAGGATCCGCCAGCAAACTTTGAACTCTGGAAACAACAGCCACAGATTCATCTTTCATGAAATGTCTGAGCCACGCAAACTCATGATATATATGTCAGAGTAAAAATGTAAACTCGGGCATAGAACCCAAAATATCCAAACATACTTTAAATGTAAACATCAAAGCAACAGCAACAAACTATGATTTTCCCACGGACAAGCTAGAATACAGTAAAGAGAAGATCAATGACGATATCAGAAAAGGGTTACATCAGAACTTTTAAGAAAGGTCTATTATAACTTCTTAAGTTTATTTTAAGGACGAGATTTCTCAATTGAAGAAAAAAAAAAAGGAATAAATAGATGAAAACAAGACATCCGATCTATAAGAAATGCCAAGACATACTAAACCGAGAAAAACTAGATCAAAAGTCGTATTCCAACACTCACCGCCATAAACCCTGAAAGTATAACTCTTGGATTGAAGAGACTGAATGAGCAGGGAACACCAGCTTCTTCTAAATTAAATCATCTACAAACTGGAAATCCACTTAGTAAGATGAAGATATAATAGGTCAATAGGCTTAATGGTTGGGTTATTATTCCCTTTTTTTGCATTTATATGCAGTTGCTTCATTCTGTCATCTGTTGTATCCCCAATTAAAATGTAAGTTGCAATCAACCATTGCACAATGTTGTTTTTGTATAATTTCCTTTTATGAAGATGCAGTAGATGTTTTTATACAAGTCGTTATATACTTATATTGATGTAAAGAGTCCATTTCACCAAGCAGACTTGTGTTGCAGTCTGGACTTTAAGGGAAGTGACGGTACATTTTGTGGAAGTATGAATGGAGGCAATTTGGCAAATGAACAGACTAATTTGTTTAGAAGAGAAAATAGGTCCACCACAGAATCTGTACCATCAGCAAAGTAGTGAATTACCAAATCATTTACTCCCTCTTTCCTAATTTATGTGACACCGCTTGACTAGGCATGAAGTTTAAGAACGAAAGGAAGACTTTTTTTAAATTTGTGGCCTAAAATAAACCTTAGATAGATAATTTTGTAGCTATAAATCATTTTACTAAGGGTATAAAGGGAATTTTAAAGTAAAGTTATTTCTAGATATAGAAAAGGTGACATTCTGTATGGGACAAACTAAAAGGAATGTGTGCCACATAAATTGGGACGGAGGGAGTAGTAGTATTTCATCTTTGAATTATTCTCATCCTTGGACCGTTTGGAGAAAGCGAAACTCTCAAGTGTTCTAAAGATACAGGAAACTCTATTCAGAAGATTGAGATGAATTATTCACTTGTATTTCATTTTGGGTGTATACAAAATTTTGTAACCGAAGCTGAATCAGTGATAGAACTCATAGAATCCACTTAAGGATGGGAAGGGATATTCTGTTGGTACATTGTAAATATTTTTGACAGCACCACCTTGGTGTCATACTAATAATACACTTATCTCCCACGAACACAGAGGATTGCAATAAGAAAAATGAAAAAAACAAGAATTAAAGAAGGCGTCATGCAATTTAACCTTCTGTTTCAGTTGAAACTATGTCTGATCACAGAAGATTATCATTCATGGGGAAGCAGAAAAGTCCTCAGCTGAATTGCACCCATGAACAGGTATTAATATAATTATCAAACTCTTGATCTACACAAAGAAAAATTTACGAAAATGTGATTAACCTCCATAAACCTCGTACATTTAACTACTGTAAACCAAAACCGAAAGCAAGAGAAGAGGATTAAAGCACATACATGTCTTGCAATGTAATCATGAGCCACAAAGACTTCTGCTTTTGTCCCTCCAGAAGAACAAAGTACATTTAGACCACTCTCAAACTTCTCCACCATAATTAACAATTGACAGTATCCTTGTAGAGGTGTCCATCTATGTCAGGGACAAATCCCTTGTCTATCATTTCTTCTCTGATAATGTCATAGGTAATTCTATTGGGTACCAATCCTTTTTCCAACATCTCGTTCAAAAGAGCATTTGCTTCTTCCAGCTTATCTTTCTGACAGAAACCTTTAATCAACACGTTGTAAGTGACAATATTTGGTTGCTTTCCTTCCTTCTCCATTCTTTTCCTAATAGTAACAGCTGCCTTTGGGTTACCATCTTGGCAATATCCAGCCATCAAAATGTTGTATGTCACGTGACTTGGGACCAACCTTTTCTCAGACATCTCATCCAGAAGTCTCACTGCCTTTCTTGATTCTCCTCTTTTGCACATTGCATCTATTCGAATATTGTAAGTTACTAGATCTGTCATCACACTCTTCTTCTCCATTTCCTCCAGTAGCTCTTTTGCAGCTCCAACATTTCCATCTCGATAATAACCACCTAATAAGCAATTATATGTTGAAATGGTAGGACAAATCAGTTTGCTCAACATTAATTCACGAAGAGCGACTGCTTCTTCCATTTTTCCAGCCTTACTATGAGCATCAATAACTGTGTTAAAAGTTAGTACATTTAGATCTAACCCTTGCTTCATAACATCATCAAACAACTCTTTAGCCTCTCTGAACATCTTCAGTTTTTGAAAACCCATTTATCATTACATTATAAGTCCGAATATTAGGCTCCAACCCCAAACATATCATTTCTGCACGTAAACCAAGAGCCTCATCAACTTTCCCATCACCAAATAACCCATCAATTAACGAATTAAAGGTCACAATGTCCGGTCTCATCCCTTGAAGCTGCATTTCTTTAAAAAGCTTTATGGCTGCCCCAACATTATCATCCTTGCAAAACCCATCAATAAGAGTATTATAAGTTCTCTCATTTGGACTCACCCCCTGCTCCATCATTTCTCTCAAAAGTGCATCCGCTTTATACATCTTCCCGTCTCCACCCCTCTTGCAATACCCATCAATCAATGTATTGTAAGTAACCTCATTAGGCATTATCCCTCTAACCTTCATATCTTCCATCACATCCCTAGCCTTATTTAACTTCCCCGCCTTACATAACCCATTAATTACAATATTAAACGTGTACAAGTCAACCTCAATCCTCCTCCTAATCATCTCCTTATACACAAGCTCTCCTACCTCAAACTTCCCCTCTTTCACCACCCTTTTAAGCATTGGTTTACACGAAAATACAGATAACTTAAACCCATAATCCCCAGCTCTTCTAAAAGCCTCCAGAGCTAAATCAAGTTTACCATTATTAACATATGATAATACCAACATGTCAACAATAATAGAATTACCACACACATTATCACTACATGTCAACAGTGTATGAAAAACAGAAGAAACCGTATAAGTCTTCCCATTTTTAACAAAATCGTGCAATAAAGATCGAACCTTTGGGTATTTTTTATCATTAACTAACAATACAAGAACTCTGCATAAATGCTCAAGAGGGTGGTGATAAACCTGATAAAATTGAGACCACCTGAAGAAACCCAAGATGGAGGAAGAATCAAACCCAGAATCCAAAAGTTGTTCAAGAAACGAAGTTGGGTTAAAGGGTTTAATTAGGTCCTTCAGCTGAGACCAGTGCTGGTTTGAAATCAATTCTGAAACTTTAGATTTGAAAAGTGGGTCTGAAAACAAATTGGGTGTTGAGGTTGAGGTTGAGGTTGGCTCTGAATTTGCTGTGTGGAGGCAACGGAGGGGTAAACGAGAGTAGTGAAGACGCCGGAAATATGTTATCGACATGGATATCGACGATGGAACTATAGAAGAAGTCTTGATTAGGAACAGGGAAACATAGAGGCGACGAACAGAAACTGGAGTCTGGAGCTCACAATTTTTTTATGGTAATATAATTACACTGTATGTAGCTTTAATTATTGGACAAATTTAACTACACTCCTTTACTTATCTTAATAGAGAAAAGGGTCAAAAATACCCCTCAATTTTGGTTTATTGTTTGACTATGCCCTCGCCGTTAAAATAAAATTATTTTTACCCCTTCCATTACTAATTTCACCAAATTTACCCCTCAATTGGATGGAAATCCCCAAATTGACTCAGTTTAACCCAAATTTTAAAAAAAGACCCATTCCCCATTTTAAACCCAATGCCCGATCCGTCCAAAGTTGATGGGTATTTTTGACCCTTTGCCCTCAATTGGATGAAAATTCCAAATCAACTAAAATTACCCAATTTCAAGTAAATGACCCGATTTTCTCTTTTAATCCAAACCCGACCCATTTATATCAAATTAGAACCCTAAACCCATCTCTCTAATCTTCTCCATCTCCTTCTTCCATTGAAACACATACTACTAAAATTGACAACAAATATTCTGTAGTTAAATTCATGCATATTTGTCCTTCCTACTAAAATTGCACCACTGTTTCAGTGTGGTCGGAGCTTGGAGCTCGTTCAATCATCGAATTTTGCTTTCCTGCAGGCAAATCTGAAACTATGATATTGCTTGCTTGTTGAGCCTAGCCAGATATGAAGTTGTGGCTGTTGTTTTCGAGCCTTGATTCTCGCCTGATTGTGTTGTTGGTTTGATCTGTTAGCGGTGCTTCAGTTGTTTTCCGATGGGGTTTTGGTTGGGGTTTTGTTGGTTGGTTGTTTGGAGGTCGGAGAACTAGTGGTCTGGTGGTCATTTGCTGGTTGTTTTAGCTTGGGTGATTGAGGTCTGGGTTCTGGTGGGCTGAAGTGTGGTTTTACCACTGGATTTTGGCGTGGAGAGGGTGGTGTTTGAGAGTTGTTTCAGGTTGGTTTTCACGGCTGTTTGAATGATTCCGACGGTGGGTGGTTTGCTTAATGTTGTTCCAGCTTGGAACTGGCAGGAAATGGAGAAGAAAGATCTTGTTGTCGTCACTGGAGAGTAGAGGAAAATGGGTTTGTTGTTAATGTTTTCTGCTTGATGTCGTTTCTGATTTTTGGGAGTTTTGAGTGGTGGTTTCAGGTGGTCGTTTGGAGGTTGTTTTGGTGGTGTTTCGCCGGAAAACGGAGAAAATGAATGGGGATTGTCGGAGCTTGATTTGGGGTTTTAATTTGGTATAAATGGGTCGGGTTCGGATTAAAAAGAGAAAAAATTGAGTTATTTAATTGAAATTGGGTAATTTTAATTGATTTGGGTTTTCCATCCAATTGAGGGGTAAATTTAGTGAAATTAGTAACGGGAGGGGTAAAAATAACTTCATTTTAACGGCGAGGGCATAGTCAAACAATAAACCAAAGTTGAGGGGTATTTTTTACCCTTTTCCCATTTTAATATTCATTTATCCCTACTTATTTTTAAAATTTCAAAAATCCCTTATTTACCTATGTATCCCGCATGTATTCTGTGCACAACGTTATGTATCCCGCTATGTGGAATGTATCAAACGTTATGTATCCCGTGCACAATGCTATGTATCCCGCATGTATCCTGTGCACAACGCTATGTATCCCGCTATGTGAAATGTATCAAACCTAATGTATCTCGTACATAACGCTATGTATCCCACAAACGTCATTTTTAAGAGATTTTTGGTAAATAGAAAACTAGAAGGGATATGATGTTATTTAGTACTTATAATATGTGGTTCCTATAATTTATACATTATTACCTAAGAATTTTTTCATAGGACTCGAACCTAAACATCCATTGGGCTCCCAGACTTAATAACATCCCACTTATTAATTCAGGTTCGGCTAATTACTATATTATAGAAGACTCTAGGAATGACTACCATTGTGTCAATAAGATCACTACTAATGTTCAATATATTTATAAAATATATAAGTGGGCTCCATCACCTTCCACTTAAATACTACATATTATATATTATTAATTACTATACTATAAATCACTACTAATATCCAATATATTTATCAAACTATATAAGTGGGCCCCACCACCTTCCACTTAAATACTACATATGATATATTAATTACTATACTATAAATGACTTAAATACTCCATATTATCTATTACAATAATTAACAATTATTTGACACTTTAAATTATATCAATGCCATATAAATTAGGATAAAAAACCTAAGATATAATATTTAAATATATTTACAAATAATATAAGTAATACTATACATTACAATAATCAACATCTTAATTATTTAAAATTTATATAAAAAATTTAATTGACTCTCTAAATTCTATTGGTACCACATAAAATGGATTATATAATAAACATATATTGTTTGAAATTGACGAAAAAGAAACAATAAATTACAATAATTAATAAAAAATAAGTCCACTCCAAAAAATCTATCAGTTAACAACATATATTGTTTGAAATTGACGAAAAAGAAACTATAAATTACAATAATTAACAAAATAAATTTCTCGACTCCAACAAATCTATCAATTAATGCCACATAAATTGGGACATGAACCAATAACATATATTATTAAAAAATTAGGTTCAAAATGTACTAAAAAATACAATAATTAACAACTTAATATATTAAAGAGAGATATAAAAAAGGGTTAATATTTCAAATTCTGCATCTGCTACATAAATTAGAACAAAGAGAGTAATAAAAATTATTTTCAAAATTATGTTAAAAAAAAGTACTACAAATCACAATAGCTAACAATTTAAAATATTTTTAAAATCATATAAAAATTTCAATAACTTCTCAAATTCCATAATATGACATAAATTAAAAAACAATTGTTATAAATCATAATAAATAGTACAATATTTAAACTACTTTAAAAGCATTATAAATTGTAATAAATAATACAACAATTTAAATTACTTAAAATTTAACGACTTAAAAATATTTTTTTAAATGTATTAAAATTTTGCTTAATTGTCAAAACTTTACATGTGCCACATAAATTGGGACATGGAGAGTCACACATATTTTTTTAAAAAAAAAATACATTAAAAGTATTCTATCAATTAACAACATATATTGTTTGTAATTGACGGAAAAAAAAACTATAAATTACAATAATTAACAAAATAAATTTCTCGACTCCAACAAATCTATCAATTAATGCCACATAAATTGGGACATGGCAAATAACATATATTATTAAAAAATTAGGTTCAAAATGTACTATAAAATACAATAATTAACAACTTAATATATTAAAGAGACATATAAAAAAGGGTTAATATTTGAAATTTTGCATGTGCCACATAAATTAGAACAAACAGAGTAATAAATATTATTTTCAAAATTATGTTAAAAAAAAGTACTACAAATCACAATAGCTAAAAATTTAAAATATTTTTAAAATCATATAGAAATTTCAATAACTTTTCAAATTCCATAATATGACATAAATTAAAATAAAAAAAATATATATATTGGGCCCCGTGCTGGCACGGGGTCCTATATCTAGTGTTTACATAAAAGACAAAATGACACAGCATAACACCCTATATATTAAATTAGCAAGAAATAGCCCACTTTTATTTTTTTAGCAAGAAAAATATTTTGTTTTATTTATTTGGCATTGAATAGTTGTTTTTCTTTTTCTTTTTTAAATGTATTTTTGTTCTCCTTATTTTTCTCAAACACGCGTTCTAAAAAAATATTGTTTTATTATCCCTATTTTATCTCTTTTTTTTATTATTTTGTCAACACTTTTAAAATAGAGTTCTTCTCTTTTTTGTCTCCTTTTTCTCTTTCCATAATTATTTTCATACGTAATTCTCTCCCTAATTTCAATTCTTCTCCTTAATTCAATATGTTTATGAAAATCAGATATAACAATATGTTTTTTTCATGGATATTTCTAAAAATCATCTTTATATATAATCTTGTTCTTGTCAAATTAATTGTTGAATTTCATGATTTGTAGAATTGAAGTTCTTTCAATTTTGTTTTTGCGAAAATTTAGGTTATTCAACCTTCTTTTGTTTTCTTTCTAAAATCCTTTTCATATGTATATTTGCTTCTCTTCTAAAATTTCTCTTATTCTCCTTAATTTACTCTGTCTATGCAAATCAGATATAACTGTATGTTTATTGATTGATCCTTCCAATAATTTCTTTTAATATATAATTATGTAGCATTTCTCGTCCCATTAGTTTTGAAAATTTGTGATTTGTGGAACTAAAGTTTTTAAAACTTTTTTGGCGAAAATTCAGGTAATAGTTTTTTGAAATTTTTGTTCTCAATTTCATGGGTAAGAAAGATCTTCGTAAAAAATCAGAATGTTGATTTTGATGAATACAACCCAATGTATAGCAATGAATTCCAATATCAATTTAAATTAAAGTATACAAGTTTATTATGTGAATACAAATCACTGAATACACGATGAATATGAACTAATGTATACAGAGTGTAGTTACCGTATACATAAACAAAATCACATGTACTTAATGAATAAAATTTATATATGTATCTTATTAATCTCATTCTTGTATTCATTATAGTAATACGTATAATTGATGATAATATTCTTATGTATACAATATAAAGTTTATGTACACATGCTACAATTACTGTATACATCAATAAAATTTACATGTCTATTTTTATGAATATTTTTTTGTGTATACATATTTTTTTTTATGTATACATTATGTAATTGTAACTTTAATTATTGTATAATTTATGCATATTTATTATTACAGTTTCTAATAAAATGCCATTTAATATTATTTGATTAATTATTGTCGATTATGTGATAATTAATACACGTTAGAGCATTAATAATATATTTTCTTACCTTAAAAGTAGTCACAATCTTTTAATAAGTTATTTAAAGAATTTTTTAAAATTCA